ACAACAAGTTTGAGACTACTTCGGGAAAGCTGCGCTTTTTTCACTGTCACGTGAGCGTTTCTCACCAACGTTCGAGAAATCGATCCTCTCTTAATATGTACTACATATTGATTACGTCTAGTCTGCTAATCGAAGCAACTAAGCATCTACCAATGTACTTCTACATTTTAATTTATTTTGTAAATATTATACATTATGTTATTATATATTGTTATACGATGTCAAAGTGAATTCAAATACACATTATATCATATAATATTACTATTATTTTTACTACATGAACTTTTTCATTCCCTCCCGTAAATTTTGGCTTTATTTCTGCGATTCCTCTTGGTGCTACATTGTTCTACTTCTCACCAAATAGTACTTGAAACTTCCTCTTCAAGTTTTTACCTATGAAATATATTACTATATAATAGTATGTAAATTTTTAACTTTTTATTTGAGAGCTTATTGAGAGCAAACATTTGATTAAAAATAAGAAAATACATGAATAGAAATATGTATATAAACAAGTTCTAAATATACATAAAGTCTTCAACTTTTTTAAATGAATCCTCCTTATTTTTTCAATGAATTAAATATTAAGAGAAAAGAGAAATTTTTGCTTATGCATTTCACAAATAGTCTCAAGTATAATTTAACAATCGCTGTAGTAAATAAATTTGCATTCTAACGTTATGCTAACGTGTTTTCGCATCGTTTTTGTATCCAAATTTGTCTTCAATCGCGAAGTAGCCTGCGTTATTTTAAAATAACTGTTATCATAATACGTATTATAGTCGCGATGAGTAACCTTGGCCTAATACAAGATTCGTTCTAAATAAAAAAATTATCAATATATAATTTATTTTTCTTTTTTTTTCTTCTTTTCTTCCTATTTTTCCTATTACGATTCTAGTGAGTCTGGTGAAAGAAGATAAAGTGTTCAACCAAAGGAATGCTAGCATTTCATTGGCTAGCATTTGAATGACTAGCATTTGATTGGCTGGTTATGACGTAAGAAGAACATGCGCAATACGCATTAAGAGTACTGTTACACCTTGTCTTCTTCCACCATAGTAGTGAGTATCCAATAGTATTTTTGCTTCCCCGACATTATTTATAAAATTATATGACGATCTTGCATAAAATTTTTAATGTGTAATTATCAGAATTTCTACAACTGTTTTTGTAAATATATCCGTGTATATGCGGCGAGTTATTTATAAAAACAGATAAAGGAACTCTGATTTTTTTTTAATTTGATAACTGTTTGTTATATTAATTTTTACATATATGTAGTTTCAGCATAACAATGACGATTCATCTTAACAACATATTTATCAAATTAAATTTGAAAAGAAATTGTTCAATAATTGGGAAAAATATTTTAGCTGTATTTTAAAAATATAAGTATGGTTATAAAAATGCACATTATTCCTGAATTATAATGTAATATAGAAATATTGCAATATGAAGTATTATACATTCATCGTGACTAAAAATTTTATTCGTCAAACGAATTTTGGAATAAATATGAATCTGTCTTTCAAAAGTATTCATCAAGTATTTAAAAATAATGGGATAATGTATCCTGATTTCTTTCTTCAATTTTATTAATGCCGGTTTCTAATTCATTATATTCTCGAAATATAAAATATTTACATTTCAAATTGTATTTATTTAATTTTTCACAAATATATCATTTAGAAAGGGCAATGAGTAAAATAAGCCGATTTTTATTTCTAAAATGTAATAAAAGTTATGCCTGTATTCTTACGTCTTTTGGGCCACTGAACACTTTTATTCATCCGCTAAATAAGCTGTTATAGATTAGAAGCATTTTTATCTACTAATATATAATATAAAGAAAATGCTTAATTGATTTTGAATGACAAGAAAGTATTTGTTTTTAATAAACATTAACAGGATTTAAATTGATATTATACTTTTTTAAATTGAAATGATCTCGTACTTATATTCGATACCTGTTTCTGGTAAACATTTAAATAATGTATTTTATGTCGAAGCCTCTTCGGATTCTGATAATAACGATTGAATTTACGTTATACTTTAAATTATGATACAAAGATAATAATAATAGTGCTCTAGTAGGCAAAAGTTTGTATCTTAAAAAAATCTAACGCATCTCTGGTGGGATTTCTGTGATGGTGTGGAAGTTTATCATTTTAACATTTTCAAAACTTTTTACACGTACACTGTTAAAAATTTCATGGAATTTATTATAATATACTTTTAAGTTACACAATTTGAACTTAATTTCATGATATTATATTAAATTTAATGTATTTATAACTGAAAAATATATTTGCGTATATATACATGAAATTTAATGTATTTTTCATGAAAATATATGAAATTTAATGTACACGTTCATTATATTTAAGTAACTACTTTAACTTAATTTTAGCTAAATCATTCATTACTTTTAATTTCGTTCATAGTCACGAGCTTTATTTATGTGTAAAGAAAGCATTTCTAACAATGTACGCACATCTAATGAGACTTAAAATCCTCTTTAAATAAGAAATTACTTTTTTAATTATATCATATTGATTTCGCATTGTAAGATTGAAAATTTCTGAAGTGTTCTATTTTTAAGTGTTTTTCTTTGGTTTTTAATGTAAAAAGTTATAAAATCAATCTATTTTATCCATCGTTTTTTATTCTGACAAAACTGTTATGGCGAATCATCTTAGCGCAATTATTGGAAAGTTTTTGCCAATTCATATTGTCATTATTTTCCAATTTGCTTATTGGGCTTCCAAATACGCTGATATGCTCGCTGATTTTGAAAAAGATGCAGAACCATACGAATCTGCTTCTGACTACTAAAAATTATTATCTCATATATTTTTTTATTAGTTATTATCCGTATAAGTTTCTCGTCGAACATTTTTAAACGTTCTATTGATATTTAGAGACGAAAATGTCCGCGATAAAAGCTGAAGAAATTTATTTCCGTCGCATCGCATAATCTCAAAATATTTCTGTTAACTTAACATAGGAACGTGATTCTCATTTCTATCACAGTTTTTTTTTATTTTTTCTGCTTTTTCTCGTTGATATCTGGTTGAGACATTTATTTTAATTTTAGAAAATTTTGCAATGCTAATTCTGCAATGATTAAATTTATTATAGTTTTAAGCAAAAATAATTAGGATCGAGAAATATGTAGAATTTATTCAATGTCGATGTGATTTACAAAAAGAATTGTGTTTTAAAAAAGAAGGTAAAAAAGATTGGCATGTATATTTGAATAGCGTAAATTGCGTGTATATGCATGAACTTGACAAAGAATATTTTGTAGAAAATTTTTTTATAAAATAAAGTAATCTATTAAAATCAATATTTTTACATATATGATTTTATTCAGAGAAAAAGAAAGTAAGAGAGAAAGAAAAAGAAAATAAGAAGATGGATAATACAAGTACTATTTGATGTGAGATTGACTCTCGCAAATGGCAGTTAATTTTAACGTATTTAATTGATATTTGTAAATAACACATATAGATTGTTGAAAAAATTAACTAGTTCGAATTAATTAATCGAAACGATCGGTACCTCAATGCAATGTTGGAACGCGTGGCGTGGTATTTCCAAAGTAATGAAGCATATTCCTCGATCCGCTTAGGGGCTGCGGCCGCCTAGTTCGGCGAGCGTCGCGACGCCTCACGAGGCGATGCCTTTTTCGTGCCTGTCGAGCAAGCACCATCCCACGAAAATGCGGGGGCGTCCAAACGAGAGCATATAATTGACGTCGCGACGTCGTCGAGGTACAGACGCCGCTCCACCTCTGTCCCGTGCACGGTACGTAGACATAGTATCACGAATTTCCATTCCATTGCTGAGTTCTTTTCTTTCTCGGAGAACACAATTGTTTTCTGCTTGCTTTCGCGACCCCATCAAAAGACGTCCGCGTGTTATGGTGATTATAAGCGAATGAAAGTGATAAGCTGCTGAACCATTAGGATTATTCGAGATAACCAGCAATACAGAGTAACAGTTTCATTATTACCTTAACTTACGTTTAATCAAAAAGAGAGTACAACTTTTTTGCGACCATTTCCGAATCGTTTTATTTCTACATTTTTTCATGCATGTATTTTTCTTCATAAAACCCGAAAATTATATCATAATAATGATTCTATACTCAAGAAAAAACTGGTGATTTAAGAAAGAGTTAATGAAATTCTTATTCATATCATTACGAAATTGCTGTCAGTAAATAAAGAATAAAATCATTACTCACTACAATATAATTATGAAATCACTATTGTTATATATATGCTTCAATCATTTAAAAACTAATTTAGAGAGTTGGATCAATAATTCTAAATTAATTTTTAAATGATTGAAGCATATATATAACAATAGTGATTTCATAATTATAATGTAGTGAGTAATGATTTTATTCTTTATTTCATTGTATCAATTTTTCCTGAATTGTAGTATTATTATTATATAATTTTCGGTTTCTATGAAGAAAATGTGGAAATACACAACAACAATTCCCAAATGATTGCGAAGAAGTGAAAGTTGTATTCTCCTTTTAAAGTTATATTTATTTGTTATTAAATTAAATTTAACCTACTTGTTTTTTAATTTATTTTTAATTATAAATTACAAACACAACTTTCTCTTTGGTTAAAATAATATTTAAATTTTAATTAGTAAAACGGATTAAGAGATGTCGTATCGTAACGTCAAATATATTTTTAAGTATCAAACATAATTTTCAAATATATTTTCCGTTTTCATATTTACTTGAAAGATTCAGTTTGTTAACAAAAACATTTAAACTAAAATTATTCATATTTTCATATATTTTATTATATCATTTCTTCTTTGTCTTTTATTACTTTTTTTTTACTTTAATTTTACTTTTTTAATCGATAAGTTATATTTATATATATAAACTAAATTTAAAATTGTTAAAAAAATTATTCGTAGAATTCTCATATATTTCATTAGTTTTTATTTAATATGCTACTTGCCTCAAAAAAGTTCTTTGACCCATTACTGAATCCTCGGAAGAAGTTCAAGTTCTCAGCATTCACTGTATCAGTTGAGATTGTTTCTTGGCATATCGTCAAGCGGCTCGCATTCATTATAGCCATCATTTTTATACATCTACATTTCGAAAAACATATGGGCAGACAACGAGTAACCTATTTGCAACAAATTAATATTAATTTGCGAGTATAGCATTCTAACAATACGCTTAATTTAACGTATTAATTTTAGAAACATTAGTTGTCATATAATATTTGAAGATATAATAATATTCTAAAAACATTTTAAAATACTTGTTAATTAAATTTTATTAATATTTATAATATTTATATCTACAATTTAATAATATTAAATAATACTTAAAAAAATGACTGTTATATAAGTCATAAATTTTGTTGAGATAAATTATTTTAATGTAATTAGCCTTAATAAATTATCCTTGCAAGATTTAATAAATAAAAAATTGAAATATAAGCAAGATTAAATTTAGCTAATAAAATATGAATAAAAAGAAGAATTTTTAATAAATAATAGAAGCTTTAAAATTTAGGCTTTTACAACTTAATATAATTCCAAAATATCGTGATAGAAATTCCTGACAATCTATAGAAAAAAATTGAATTACGATCTAAATTTAAAAAATATAGAAATTATTTTACAAAAATTAAAACATTTTAACATTTTATTTACTTTTGCTAAAAAATGTTTAATCAGTAAAATTATGAATCACGTATATTACTTCGCGGATTGTTCGATGACCATAAAAGGACTCGTCTTCTGTGGATTGCATGCCTCAACTGTCTTCTCAGTTGGTTCCTAAAATTATACTCATTTCTCTAAGGATCCTCCCTCAACGTCGCTTAACTTTAAATATGGCTCGACCGCCTCTCTTAAGCTCTTTCTAAAATTTAGAATTACAACTGATGAAGTACAAGTTGAGATTAGCGTTAACATTAATCTAACATCGGTCATAAAAGCCGCGAATACGAACGTGGGAATGGCCGTTTCTTCATGATTGGGCTCATAATTGCATAGTCGAGGTCTTCGGCCGCGCGATCGCGTTTTGGTCCTTTTCCGCAGGCAGGCATAATTTTGGCATGCTCGGTGTTGCCTCGCGGCGGGACGTTATGTTTTATCCGTCGTCATCGTCGGCTGCGGCGGCGGTAGTGGTAGCATCGGCCACCATAATCGTCGCTTGAACTTATTAGGGAGCGTCCGTCGGCCGTACATCTAAAGTTAGCGACGCGCCAGGCAAAAATAGCGTCGCGACGCCGGGACCGCTTTGCCTACCGCTTTATAGGCAACTAGGTCAATTCTGACTTCGCACAACGCTCACCGGGGATTAGCTTTATTGAAATTCGCCCGACTATCATCAAATGTATGAATACTTTTTTACAAATAATTTATATCGCTTCTTAATTTTAAACTAATCCAAACTTTAAACTGAATATTTTATTCGCGTAAAAAATTATGCAAGTTTCTCCAGAAAAGTCTTGAAAAGACCTGCAATTGAACTATAATTAAATATCAAGTTATTATTTTTAATACTTATACTATTTTTACTTGCTATTAAATAATACAATAATTTAAAATTTTAAAATTTTATTCGCAAAGAATTGAACAACTGTAGCAGAATTATTTAATTATTCTATTAATTACATGTGTGTAATTTCATTTTTTATTCAAGAAAAAAATATAAAAGATATTTAATATAAATATTAAAGAAAAAAAGATGTGATTTTATGAAAAGTATTTTTAGTTTTTATCTTAATTTATTTTTCTTAGTATCTTATTATTGTTTATGCAATAGAATAATATGTGATACTAGAAAATAAATTATAATAATTATAACTTACTTATAATTTATTATTAACTTCATAAAATTCTAACTATTATTCTATCGAATAAGAATATGTTAGTGATAAACAATGTGAATATTTACAGAAAACGATAATATAACAATAATTCCTGTTAATAAAACTATATTGATATAATGACAGCCAGTATAAATGCTTATTATTCAGAATTAATATATAAATAATTACAGAGTAAGAGATATTATAATTTGTGTTACAGAGCGTTAAAATCAAAGAAAAACAACAATGTGCGACGACGAAGTAGCTGCCCTGGTCGTAGACAATGGCTCCGGCATGTGTAAAGCCGGCTTCGCCGGAGACGACGCTCCTCGCGCCGTCTTTCCCTCAATTGTTGGTCGACCTCGCCATCAGGGAGTGATGGTCGGTATGGGTCAAAAGGACAGTTACGTAGGTGACGAAGCCCAGAGCAAAAGAGGTATTCTGACATTGAAATACCCGATCGAGCACGGTATCATCACCAATTGGGATGACATGGAGAAGATCTGGCATCACACTTTCTACAACGAATTACGTGTCGCTCCAGAGGAACACCCTGTCCTCCTCACTGAAGCGCCCCTCAACCCGAAAGCTAATCGCGAAAAGATGACGCAAATCATGTTCGAAACCTTCAACAGCCCGGCCATGTACGTCGCCATCCAGGCTGTCCTTTCCTTGTACGCTTCCGGTCGTACCACCGGTATTGTCCTAGACTCCGGTGACGGTGTCTCTCACACCGTACCTATCTACGAAGGTTACGCCCTTCCTCATGCCATCCTCCGTCTGGACTTGGCTGGTCGCGATCTTACTGATTATCTCATGAAGATCCTCACCGAGAGAGGCTACAGCTTCACCACCACGGCTGAGCGAGAAATCGTCCGTGATATCAAGGAAAAACTATGTTATGTCGCTCTGGATTTCGAACAGGAAATGGCCACCGCTGCTGCTAGCACCTCTCTCGAGAAGAGCTACGAGTTGCCCGATGGTCAAGTCATCACCATCGGTAACGAGAGGTTCCGCACACCAGAGGCTCTCTTCCAACCTTCTTTCCTGGGTATGGAATCTTGCGGTATTCATGAAACCGTCTATAATTCCATCATGAAGTGCGATGTCGACATCCGTAAGGATCTCTACGCCAATAATGTTCTCTCTGGTGGTACTACTATGTACCCCGGTATCGCCGATCGTATGCAGAAGGAAATCACCGCCCTTGCGCCCTCGACCATCAAGATCAAGATCATCGCTCCTCCTGAGAGGAAGTACTCTGTATGGATCGGTGGTTCCATTTTGGCTTCTCTATCCACCTTCCAGCAGATGTGGATTTCCAAACAGGAGTACGACGAATCTGGCCCTGGCATCGTCCACCGCAAGTGCTTCTAAGCAATTACGCTCGATGCTATTCACTATTATTATTGTTATTATTGCTACACCTTTCCCTAAGTTGTACCGTTCACTGCCGCATCGCTTCGTCTAGTTGGGTCTCCGTTAGTCAAATATTCTGTTGTCGTAATTGGTCCGTGGCGGCAAGTCTTTTATCAAGAACTATTATACGAGCATATACGTCATCTTTTGTATATAAGTTTACGTCTATGGAATAAATCAATCTTATATTCTCTCTTACAATCGAGCAATTCGTAATTTTCATTCTTCAATACCCTCATATTTGCACAAATACTGACCAGCAATATTTAATAGGATTAATACGCGCGCGAGCGTGTGTATGTGTGAAAGAGGATATATTTTACTTTTTATTTATATAAACCAACTTTGGCTTAGAAAAAACTTAAATAAATTAATCATTTAATCAATTTAATAACAAAAATAATCTATTACTTTCTTGATCTAAATGAATCTTTTTTAATTCTTTTTTTAAATTTGTATTTCCTGTCGATAAAATTGAGGCATATAAAACTATTATAAACGTGAAAGTACACAACTTATATGCTTTGTAAATCATAAATGTATAATTGATGGCTAGGATTCCACGAAAAAAATAAAACCATTAAAAATATTCTTTTTTTTTATAAAAATCTACTTATTAAAGTTTTAAAATGTCATTGCATAACGATATAAAATTATACTAACGATAAGCATGAAAACTTTATAGAATTTGAAATTTGTGCATAACTGATATAAAATATGCATGTAATGCACGTTGTTGTATATATTGCATGATCAAAATAAAAAATATGTTTATTATAATTATTATTGGACTGTAGATAAAAATTAAAGTAAAAGTAGCGCTAGCGTCCTCGCAGATATGAGTTTAGTGCAAAAATAGATGCGCGGGACTTCCGTTTTTATGTTCGTATATGTACAACGTAACGGCTCAAAATAAAGACGTGTGCCATATACCTTGGAACTTGTTTTCTTGTTGGTCTCTTCACAAAAGTAGTACAATTATTAATATTACTTTTTATTAATATGTTAGAAATTTGATTTGAAACTAAAATTACAATTATAATGCAACTGTAAGTGCATTATAACTGTTTCTCCAAAGGAGGGACAACTTTTTTCGCGACCGGTTCGGGGATCGTTTTATTTCTACATTTTCTTATGTATTCTTCTTTAATGGAAACTGAAAGTTATCATAATAATAATGCTACACTCTAAGAAAAATTAATGCAGTAAAAAGAAGTTAATAAAATTATTTACATCGTAAGAAATCGTTATGTTTCGATTATTTAAAAACTAATTCAGAGAGTTGAATCAATAACTCTAAATAATTTTTAAATTATTAAATCATAACTGACAACTATTTCATAATGATATGAATAAAAATTTTATTTTAACCCATGTATATACCAATTTTTCTTGCGTGTTGCGTCATTATTGTGATAATTTTTAGTAATCATGAAAAAAATTGCTAAAATCATGTAGAAATAAAACAAAATTGATCGTGTAAAAATGAAAATTGTATTTTTCTTTATCACTCAGATTTTTAACTCTGTAGCAAGAGATATAAACTCAAAAATAAACGTGCATTACCCATATTACATACGACAATATTACATAAAAAACAAAGTTTAATCAAGATTATACAAAATATATAATCAAAGATGTTTCAAACATCTAGCTGCTTCCAATAAACGCTCAAACTCCAAGATACAATTTTGCAATATCACACATTTCTTCAACAGAAACAATATAACATAATACTTTATTGTATAATATAGCTAGAAATACAACTAGAGAAAAGTAATTGCATTGTGTTTAATAAGTCAATTGTATCACACATTCTCATACGAGGACTAAAAAATAGTTTTTGCAATTGCTTTAATTGCTACCAAATTATTCTATAATTATAGTAGTTATAAATTCTTTCATGTCTTTGGGTCTTAATAAATTAATGACCAATATATAGTCAAATTTTATTGATAAATGTTAAAGGATTCTAAATTTTTCCAATAGATGCGATCATAATCTTTCTAATTAAATCTTCCCAAGGGTTTTTACTTTTTAATTTTTCCTTTTTTGAGATAAAAAAGCAGAATAACATTCACCTTCAGTGTTTTCCCTGGTGAAGATTAGCCTTTTCACTCGTGCTGAAGTCCTGATGATGGACGTAATGATGACGAGTGAGAGATGTTCAACAATAAAAGATGCGCCCTAACGGGGTTGAAACTCGACAATGCGAAACAATATCAGCATCGGCTTAACCGACGATGAAAGGTAGAAGAGGGGATCTTTACGATGGCTCAAGTAAGCGAGTTGCCCCGTGCACCTGCCAATTATAACAAATTTGCAGTTTTGTCCGTTAGTTGTACTGATATTCTTTCCTACTAATATATTTGAGTATCATATTATGTCAACGGTTTCTGGGAATGTTGCCAATATTAACAACACGCGCCAAGAATTGATGAGTTATTATTCTTGGCAGTGCAATCTTGATCATTTAATAAATAATCTCTGTTCTATATGAAAGAATGACAACTAGGCGAAAATATTTTATTTTTCAGGTAATTAATACGTCATTAATTAAACCTGTTACTCCATTCCAAAGAAAAAGATTTGTCTTTTGCATTGTAAAATCACAATTTTGTTTAGAAAATATAGGACAAGGTGTCGCTTCAGGATTGTTAACTCATGATAGTGAATTATCCTGCAAAGTTTACTTTTTCGAAATCCAAATATTTTAAAAAGCTCGATTTTTTTCGTACTTAAAAGTTCAATATTTTGAAGTTTATTCTTTCTTAAATATTTTTAATTTATATTTTTCAAAACTTAATCTTAAGTAAAGTTAGTCCTTTAAAGTGCTTTTCTTGAACACAGATTTTTTTTTGTTTTGCTTAAATCTCTGTTTCTTTAATTAAGCTTTACTACATCCTATCTTATAAGATTTTATTCGTCGAATCTCGCTTATTTTCGATCTTTCCACATCTTATTCCTTGTTTTTCTTTAAAGCTTCATTTCTTCACCTAGGCCCACGATAACAATGGACGGCCCTGTCGCGTAACGAGTCCTTATTTGGATCCAGGGGCCGTCGGTCACCACCGCGTCGACATCGTCACCACCGCCGTAGCAAGATGCTTCGGCGTCTTCTCTCTCTTTCTCATTCCTCTCTCTCTCTACCATTGCTCCTCTCTTTAGGGCGAACTAAGGACTAGCCTGACTAGAATGGGCGGCGCGGGCTCTCAGCCCGACATTAACGCGAACAGCCGATTTCCATGTAAGGGGCGGATTGCTATTTTCGGCCGCTGACCGATATGGATAAAGGGACCCCACGGAGCCGATACCACGCCACTTGCCGCTCTCGCCAGCCTCTTGCACGACGTTATACGCGACCCTAAACGATCGTCGCCTAAACGATCTCTTTCCCTCGACTCTTAGCAAACGGTAAATCATCATACCTCATTATTCCTATAAAAAATCGCGAATCACTACATCGATCTACTTGGTTCACGCGCATCGAAAATCTCTTCTAAGTTTCCGTTAAGATTTCTGAAAATCTCTTCTAAGTTTTTTCTTTTAAGTTTTGCTAAAATCGCGATCTTTAGTATCAATTGATAAGCTCTGTAGTGATTCGAATAAATGGTACTAAGTTAAAATTGAGTTAAAGCTTTAATTCAGAGAGCTTTCGAGTGTCAGGATAGTTAATGGAAAGCATCGCCAGGATCAGACCGATAATTTCCGAAAATTCTCAAGGAGAACTGTGAGAATTAAGTGAGGTTTGCGTAATCGTATATGATGTAAAGTGATATCTAGTGACTGTGTATAAATGGATGTGAACACGATAATAGTTATAAAAAGTTAGAACAATCTATTACCATCCTGAGTTTTTATAACCAAAATTGATTCTGATCTATTTACATTCATTAAAAAATATAAATATTTTTTAAATTTATTCTGAATATTTTCAAAGTAATGTAGAATGACTATATATAACTTTTCTTTTTACAGTGTAACTATTAACATATACAAATAATTAATTCCATGAGTTAATAATTAATTAGTTGATCGTGAATTTAAACTTATCCTTCAATATTCTTCTGCATTTTGCGGTGTGTATTCGCAGAAAGTAACAGTAACGGCCAACTAAGATGTGTGACGATGATGTTGCGGCACTAGTCGTGGACAATGGATCCGGTATGTGCAAGGCTGGATTTGCAGGGGATGATGCACCGCGTGCTGTGTTTCCTAGCATCGTCGGCCGCCCTCGTCATCAGGTTGGTTAAAACATTGAATTTTCATTTAGAAAAACCAACCGTCAATTTAATCTAAATATTATGAACAATTCAGTAAACGAGAATGAATTAAAATGAATTGAAATTTTTTTCTATCCAAATGCGTATTTTAAATAGCAAATACTTTTTTTTGGATTTAATTAGATTCAATTGAATGCAATTAGATTGAAAAACTGCATTTTCTCTATTCAAAATTTTGAATTGAACAGTATTCACAATTTGTGCATAGAAAAAGCTAATATTATTTTTAGATTGAAAGGCATAGAGATGTGCCCTCCATGCAATTCCTATAAATGAATAAAAATGCATTCAGGATTGAAAAGTATTTATTTTAACATTCGTGAATCAATTATTTCTGAAAATCTGAATCCATTAAGTTCAATCCATTCTCATTTGCTGAGAACATAATAGTCTTTATATCATATCTTATATTATCTTTTATATCATTATATGTATATATCGTATATTATCCCAATATTTTTATGTTACAATTTTAAAAAAATAATATTTTATACACACACGATATCTTTTAACGTATCTTTTGATTTAAACTAAGAAACACTCTTAGCTAGATTATTTTCCATTTGTTTACAGGGTGTGATGGTCGGTATGGGTCAAAAGGACAGCTATGTTGGCGACGAGGCGCAAAGTAAGAGAGGTATATTGACATTAAAGTATCCTATAGAACATGGTATTATTACTAATTGGGACGACATGGAGAAGATCTGGCATCACACCTTCTACAATGAATTGCGTGTTGCACCAGAGGAACATCCTGTTCTTCTCACTGAAGCACCCTTAAATCCAAAAGCTAATCGCGAGAAGATGACGCAAATTATGTTTGAAACCTTCAATAGCCCGGCCATGTACGTCGCTATCCAGGCCGTCCTTTCCTTATACGCTTCCGGTCGTACCACCGGTATTGTTCTTGACTCCGGTGACGGTGTCTCTCACACCGTACCTATCTACGAAGGTTACGCCCTTCCTCATGCCATCCTCCGTCTGGACTTGGCTGGTCGCGATCTTACTGATTACCTCATGAAGATCCTCACCGAAAGAGGTTATAGCTTCACTACTACGGCCGAGCGAGAAATCGTCCGCGACATCAAAGAAAAGCTCTGCTATGTCGCTCTGGATTTCGAACAGGAAATGGCCACCGCTGCCGCTAGCACCTCCCTTGAGAAAAGCTACGAGTTACCTGATGGTCAGGTCATTACCATCGGTAACGAGAGGTTCCGTTGTCCTGAAGCTCTTTTCCAGCCTTCCTTCTTAGGTATGGAATCCTGTGGTATTCACGAGACTGTCTACAACTCTATCATGAAGTGTGATGTTGATATCCGCAAGGATCTTTATGCTAACACTGTCCTTTCTGGTGGTACCACCATGTATCCCGGTATCGCCGATCGTATGCAGAAGGAAATCACTGCCCTTGCGCCCTCAACCATCAAGATCAAGATCATCGCTCCCCCCGAGAGGAAGTACTCTGTATGGATCGGTGGTTCTATTCTGGCTTCCCTGTCCACGTTTCAACAGATGTGGATTTCCAAACAGGAGTACGACGAATCTGGTCCTGGCATCGTCCACCGCAAGTGCTTTTAAAGACACGTGTCCAGAATCAATCATGTTCACCAATCACATTTATCCTTCATCACGATTCTTCTTTGTCTCTTCTTTATCTCCTTCTCAATTATACTTTATTACATTATGTTCATTACAACATAGAAAAACGCGACAAAAGAAGAGGAAAAGAAGAGAAGGGTGAAGAAAGAGAGTGGGAGAGAGAAAGAGAGAGAGAGAGAGAGAGAGAGAGAGAGAGAG